TGTTGTTGAATGTTGTTGATCCATGTTCATCCTTCCTTACATTTCCAAAAACTGTCGCAAAGGGCTGCGATTAGGGCTGCTACATGCTGTCGATTTTTACCTGTGGATTCTCCAGTATTCCAGTAATCCCGGCCATGGTGTGGCTTGCCCAAAGTCTCAGGCAGCTCGGAGATGTCAGCTGCCGCGATGTCTGGAGCAAAGGTTGCTTGCGCTTTGATCCTGAAATGACAAAGAAATATCAAGAACTCGAGTTCAACCTTGGTCCATTCACCTCTTATTTTTGTGGCCATAATTGGGAACATAGACTAACCAGCTAAGTTTTGTGAAGGCTATCTCTAAAGAGTAGTCATCAGATGATATAAAATGGCGTCACTGAGATGAAAATTTGACCACAGCTCTAGGGAGACTAGCAGAAAATGGCAAACACGCTGCAGATTTGACCTCCCAGAATCAGAAGGATCTGCAGCCTTTGAAAAAAGGAAGTTAATTGAATAGAGACATGAACCAATACACTACACGAAGAACTGAGAAATAAAAGAACTAAACAAATGCAATTGACATATGCTGAATATGTATTTGCACATGTACACATGTGTGCATAGAGACAAGATATGCACACATATAATCATACGTATATATATATACACAATCATATATATATATGTGTGTGTGCACATACCTGACATGATCATTTGTACACACGTCCTTTACAATTCTTGTTAGATTGACAATAGCCCACATTTTTTACCACCAGGTAAGCGGCCAGTACGAAACTTACTCCAACGTATTTCTACCAGTAGTACCGCGCAAGGCGGTGGCGGAAGTTTCAAAAATAGGAAACCTATAGGAGAGGTTGGTTGCTGTGACTCACGGATGGCAGAGCGAACCCACTGATGGACCGAAAGGTGGTTGGAGTTGTGTTTTTTGGAGTGGTTGCAGTGGTTGCAGTGGTCACCTCACCACAACTGTTGGACATGTTCCAACCCCTTCGGGTTGACGGTTGCACTGGGTAATGCAGCCTAGGATCTAGTCTGAGGGATTGTATGTAATTTTCACGATAATCGCAATGGGAAATCCCTATCAACCATTTTCAACCACTCAGTAGGTTTGGGATGAGAGAAGGTGAACTTGCAATCAATAATGGTGCTTGGATGACCCTCCCACAAACTGCTTTCTCTTGTTCCTGCAAGCAAGGCTTTTGTTTCTCCGTTTCAGGCTGGGGGTGTCTCAGACAAAAGCACCCCTTATGATTTTGACCATGGCACACGAGTAGAGACATGAAGACGATACTTGCCCGCAATCAAACATGACGCAGGAAATCACTGTTGAAGGGGATATGTTCAGCCAGCCAGTTACAGCCAGCTACAGCCAGCTACAGCCAGCTACAGCCAGCCAGCGTAGATATTGCTGCAGACGTTTCATGGGCACTGTAAGGCCTAGGAGGTCCCGTCAGACACGGCCTCGACAAAGAAAACGACCCAGGGCATCGGAGCAAAACAAACCACCACCTTCCTGCGAAGGTCCTTCCAAAGAGATGCTACCGATATACACCTGCATCACCGTCATCACGATCATCATCATCATCATCATCATCATCATCACCATCATCATCATCATCATCATCACCATCATCACCATCATCACCATCATCACCATCATCACTGTCGTCGTCATCATCATCATCATCATCATCACCATCATCATCACCATCATCACCATCATCACCATCATCACCATCATCACCATCATCACCATCATCACCATCATCACCATCATCACCATCATCACCATCATCACCATCATCACCATCATCACCATCCTCACCACATCACCATCATCAATCACATCACATCATCACATCGATCGTTATCACATCATCACCATCATCATCACATCATCGTCATCATCATCACATCACCATCATCATCATCATCATCAATCATCACCATCATCATCATCATCATCATCACATCATCACCACATCATCCCCATCATCACCATCATCACATCATCACCATCACCATCATCACCATCATCACCATCATCACCATCATCACCATCATCACCATCATCACCATCATCACCATCATCACCATCATCACCATCATCACCATCATCACCATCATCACCATCATCACCATCATCACCATCATCACCGTCATCACCGTCATCACCATCATCACAATCATCACCATCATCACCATCATCACCGTTATCACGATCATCACCATCATCACCATCATCACCATCATCACCGTCATCACGATCATCACCATCATCACCATCATCACCATCATCACCGTCATCACCGTCATCACTTCATCACCATCATCACCATCATCACCATCATCACCATCATCATCATCATCACCATCATCATCATCATCACCATCATCATCGTCATCATCACCATCATCATCATCATCACCATCATCATCATCATCACCATCATCTTCATCTTCATCATCATCGCCATCATCACCATCATCACCATCATCACCATCATCACCATCATTATCATCATCATCATCATCATCATCATCACCATCACCATCACCATCACCATCACCATCACCATCACCATCATCATCATCATCATCTTCATCTTCATCTTCATCTTCCTCGTCATCGTCATCGTCATCGTCTTCGTCATCGTCATCCATGAACAATTTCATCAATTTTAACAGGTTTAACAAGTTCAATAATTTCAACCATTTCAGCGTGGACGTTGAGGATATGCTTCCCGCTCGTTCTCCAGCATTTTTTTCCCCGTTGGATAAACTGCAATCACCTGTGGGGGAATTCCTGCCCACACATCCCCAATTTTTTTTTTTGGGTGTGTTGGATATATATATATATATATTATTTATATAAATATCAAGCTTTTCCCTAAATGCCGGAGGGAGCAACCCCGAAAGACCTCAAACCATTCAGGTTCCCTTGGACGCCCAGCGCGGCTCAGAAGGGACACCAAACCGTTCTTCTGGCACAGCGGTGACTGTAACGCCACGGTTGAGCATTGTGCCTTGAGCTGATCCAATAAAACTGGGTCCAAAATTATTCAAGGATTTGTTTGTGGCCATTTGGATGAGGAACAATGATCCATAATGACGGATTTTAGCATGATTTACTTCACTGTGTGGCATTTTCTTGATGTCAAAACTAGGGATTTAGCATGATCCTCTCCACCTTTTGGTCTTCTTTTTGGTGAAGAATGGTGAATAATATTAGGTTTCGTTGTTGATATTCTACCTAGATTGTGATGAAGAAGCGTGAGGTTAAGCATACGATTTTGAGAGTAACTGTTTTCAGTCAGAATTGCATGGAGATTGAGGGTAGCTATCGGTGGAAACGGCTAAAAAGCACACCGAATGGTGTTGGTGTCTTTAAAAAAAACACAGAACCATGATCATACATGATGTGAGTATACTAGATAGGGTGAACCCCCTGAAGCCAGTTGAAAGAGGTGAAGAGTGGTCTCCACCTTCAAAGGGCTTAGCCAAGGTGCAGACCCAGGGCAGCATTGCCAATCGGGCAAGCCAGTCTGAGGCAAAGAGTAAATGTCTAGAGAATGGGAGCGATCCTTCTTGCCGGGTTATGGTAGTTGTGGTAGTTGTGGTAGTTGTGGTAGTTGTGGTAGTTGTGGTTGTTGATTGTGGTTGTTGTGGTTGATTGGTTGATTGTGGTTGTTGATTGTGGTTCTTGATTGTGGTTTGTGGTTGTTGATTGTGGTTTGTGGTTGTTGATTGTGGTTGTGGTTGTTGATTGTGACTGTTGTTGTTGTTGTTGTTGTGGTTGTGGTTGTGGTTGGTGGTTGTTGTTTGTTGCTTGTTGCTTGTTGTTTGTTGTCTGTTGTTTGTTGTCTGTTGTCTGTTGTCGGTTGTTTGTTGTGGTTGTTGTTTGTTGTGGTTGTTGTGGTTGTTATGGTTGTTGTGCTTGTTGTGGTTGTTGTGGTTGTTGTGGTTGTTGTGGTTGTTGTGGTTGTTGTGGTTGTTTGTTGTGGATTGTGGTTGTTTGTTGTGGATTGTGGTTGTTTGTTGTGGATTGTGGTTGTTGTTGTGGTTGTCGTGGTTGTTGTTGTGGTTGTTGTGGTTGTTGTGGTTGCTGTGATGGTGGTGGTGGTGATGTTGTTGTTGTTGTTGTTGTTGTTGTTGTTGTTGTTGTTGTTGTTGTTGTTGTTGTTGTTGTTGTTGTTTCCCTTCAATATGCGACTAATATATGTACTTTACTACCTTTATTGCAGTATAGTCATAGTCATTTCAAGTTTGTACTGCCAGGCTTTGACAATGAAGTGAAGCAATCGTGGTTTGAGTGTGGTTGTTAATCATGTTGTCATTTGCCGGTGGGGAAAGTATGGAAATCTATGGTGCAGTAAGGTGCCTGATGGATCCTGATGGAGCTGTTGGCCCCCTGGTCACCTGGTCTTTGTAGGTTCTTGGAGCAGATGCCGATCTTGAAGCTTCGGGAGCGCAGGTCCTTCAGGCGCAGGTCTTGGACTGCAGTTGCCCCCATTTATGGGTTGTAGTTGTTGTGACATTTTGTGACCCCTAATTGTAGCTGGTGTTGGCAGTTGTAGCAGTATAATTTGCAACATAGAACTATGGTTTTCTCTCAATTTGATGATCGTTTCTTCATGTTTCTTCCATGAAAAAACTCCAGAGCAGCACTGGGAGAGACTGAAGAACAGACCCTGGATTTGGTCTTGGCAGTTTTTCAAAGGTCAAAGATGAATGTCGGGATGCGGCTGAAGAAGTCACAACTTCTCCTGCGAAGTTGCCTTCGGATGATTCTTGGGCTCAATTTTGTCGCTGATCTGTTAATACCTCTGACATCATCATGAATATGGATATCCCATAGGATCCATGTATGGTATATATGCTAACATTGGGGGTATATTGATGGTAAATGTTACCATATATATATATAGCATACATGGATCCTATGGGATACAGTATATATAAAAACATATATAAACTCACGTAGCATATCTGCGTTGTTTGATGCCCGGCGAAGAGGACAGAAACCCGGCCGACCCTGCGGCCCCTGCGGCCCCTGCGGCCCCTGCGGCCCCTGCGGCCCCTGCGGCCTTCCCAAGCTCGCCGTCACAGAAGTCGTCGCTGTCGTGCCCTGGGTTGGTGTTTCAGGTCATTTGGAAAGTGGAAACATATTTTTCACGCAAATTGACCATGAACCAGCTTGGTGTATGATGAACCGAGGATTTGATTCCCCCCTTGGCTGTTGAGCATTTCGGGGGTACCTTTTGCCAGTGGCAAATGATCACAAATCATCGTGCGGACCGGCCCTTTTTAATCCACCATGAAGTGGACATTCATGGACATTCATCCGGGGTCAACAACTACTTGGTGCATGATGTCTTGTAGATCACAGGCGTCACAGGGCTCCTTTTGTCGGTCAGGTACAGCAGCCGTGGCATCCCCTCTGCCAGCCAAACACGAGCTGCTGAACGCTCTCCTCGTAGCCCCTCGAGCCCTGTTACTTGGCTTCGGGTGGTTGACAGCAGAGCGAGGGGGGTAGGAAGTAAAGGCCATGGGCCACTGAGTTTTGGTTGTGTTTTGTAATTGTTTGATCATTTTCAGTATGCAGATTGGGATAGATTGGGGGGTACCCGACTTTGACCCGTTGACCGTCAAACCCATATCCACAAGATGCGCATAACGGGGTATGAAACTGGAAATGTTGCCGCATATTACCCATGCACATCTATAAGAATCCAAAAGAAACAAATGAGATAGAATAGAACTGATCAGACGGAGGAACATGATAGAAAGCTGTGGGAAGGATGACTAATGGATTATATATCATGCAATTTGCCGGCGAAGATGGGTTTTGACTAGCAAACATAGAAATACACCTACATGGGCCATTGACCCTTGAAACAGGGTTCGAAATCCTAAGAGGTCCTAAGAACCAGTTGTTAGCTGGTGCAGGTAACTTGTGAATCACATATGCAAAGCCGGACCCATTGGCTTCACATTTAGGATCAATGTGTTGGTGATGGACTGCTTGAAGCCTTGAAGCAGTCCAAACAAGTTCGGGGTTGGCAAATCCAGAGGTTTTGGCTGAGCAAACCCAATGGGTTGTAAGCAGGAAGAACATACTGAGTGTGCAACATCACTTTAATCTGAACCTCCATTTCTTTCATCCAATATTTTTGCATGTGTGTTTCCATGTGTATTTGCGTGGAACGCAAACAAAGTATCATTTTGATAATATACATAATAGGTTTGATATATCGATGTAAAACATATAGCATAAAGTAATATATATACATATATATATACATGCATATATTTAACTATATATTTTATTATATATACATTAAATTATATATATATATATATTAAATTATATATCCATATTAAACATACATATATATATATATATTAAATTGTATATATATTTATTAAACATATTAATATTACACATATGATATGATATAATCTAATGTACTGTAGCATCATAATAGAATAGAACCCAATGTAATACAACAAGTTTTTGCTACAGATGCTAACCTACCATGTAATGCCGATGACTTTAATGGTGACAGTTAGATCCCAGGTAGCTTCCTATCATTGCCAAGGCCACCTCCAGGTCGCCCACATCTCCAAAGAAGCTACCCTTCAAACCGTCAAGCCCATGTCCCAGGCTGATCACAAAGCATCCTGGTGGCAGCTTTCTATGAATCGTTTTTTATTTATTGGATTAGGTGTATATCATGTATACATATGTTTACCGCCTGACTCTTTGAGCTGATTTGTTTGAGGTGTTTGCAAAAAGATAAAACAACTTTTGTTGCACACACCCATATATATATAATATAATACACAGTAAATCAGTAAATAGATGATTAGCATATGGACATATGGATTAGCATAGCTTTCTGCGATATTTGATCCATCTAAAAATGTTTCGCCAGCTCCGTCAGGCATCCTCCATCAGGATTTGACTTGAGACCACCAGCTGCAGCCGCTGCACTCGGGGCCCTAAAGACATCGCCAATGGAGGTGCACCAGGTGCACCTCCAATACTTCGAGCGGAGAAATGCCACGACTTCCAGCCCCTCCCAAGCATCGCAAGTCGAATAGGGGGCACTGGCGGCAGTTACGGTGGAGCAACTGGCATCAACTGGCCACTTAGTTCGGATTAACGTTACATTCTGAAAGATTCTGTAATCTGAAAAGTGAGATGAGATCGTGAACAGCACGCTTCGTAAAATTTCATGACCATGTGCTTCGGCTTGAGCCCGCGACTCCGCGACTTGCGTCTTGGACACAACGCCTTGCCATGTGCAGAAAGAATCCAGTTGCCCGCAAAAACAGCCAGGTGGAGGAGCTTAGTCATAGTCAACAGCACCTGCTGTGTTTGACCATGGTGGAACACAAGGGAACTACAGCTATTGCTATCGCTGAGAAATCCATTGACCATGGATCAGAATGGGACGGAAGCCGCTGGAAAGTCTGTCACAGATTGTCGCTGCAGAGGGTGGAAGTTTTGGGCTGCATTTCGAGATTGTTCGTGTGGAAGATTCTGGGCCGTTGGCCATGAGCACCATCAGCACAAAAAGAATGGAATGGTGGAAGTAGGCGCTGCCCGCTAAAGACGATTCTGACAGAGCTATGCGTTGAGGTTGCCATGTTGTGCCGGGGATCAACCACTGACCGTTGTTTGCTTAAGCCATTTTTTGATATTTTTTTTCCACAGCCTTGTGGATCCTTCTGGAAGTTTCTCGTCATATGTTCCCTCTAGCCCTGCAGCCTTCTTCAGCCAAAGCCACCAATGGCCGGGTAGCCACATCTCCGGGTCGCCATGGTGGCAGCGATGCGGCCTGGGCACCAGGCCGCGAGTTCTCCTTTCATACATAATCACACACACACACATCTAGAATCATCTACGAATCTACAGTATATATATATATACATATTATATAATTATATATATATATAATATATATTATGTAATCATATATTTATATTTAGTTTAATCTATATTTATATCTAGTTTAATATATATATATATACATATTTATATTTAGTTTAATATATATATGATTATCTTATATATTATTATATTAGTATATCCATGGCCACCTATGGCTCATCAGTCCACTAATGGGACCTATAGAAGCTTGCTAAGAAGTATGGTTGCTCTCTAGATTTTCCCAGCAATCCATGGATATCCATTATGACTGTTCTTGATGACTGTTGTGACTGGGTTTTTTCGCGAGATTTTGCGCTAAACGTAGAAGGTAACGCTAAGGGCTGCAGACTTGCACAGAAGGGTTTTTCAACCCCATGGCTGGTGATTTTGGATTTTGATTTTGATGAACATGATTTTCATGACCTGGTGAAAAAACAGTGTGAAATCACAAAAAAAACACGTAGACATTTAGTAGACATGGCTAGATTTGGCTAGGTAACAGCAGGATTTCATAGTAAACAGGAGTCCTCAGACCTGAAATGATGTCCTGGGTGTGGTTGAAAAGAACATGAGATTCATATATATAGACAGAGCCTTAGTCGTATGTTTTTTGCCTGAATAATCAGCAAGTACAGTACGGAATACAGATCAGTTTGGGTATAGATGAGAAGCATGGGGTTAAGTCAAAAAACACACAAACGATCCAAATGGGTCAAACAAATCAAAAACTGTAATATATGATATGTATGAAGGCACAAAAAAATGTGAAAGAATTCAGTTGCCAAACAATGCCGAAACAAAACAAAACATGTTTCTATGCAACAATTTTGGGAGTCATGCAGTCTTCGCAAGAGTTTTCAAAACCAGTATTAGCACATGTTCGCGCGTGGAAGTGTCTTGACGGGCATGTTGAGAGTAAATAGCTGTGGTCACCAATAAAACGTATTTCTGTGGCCTTCAGGTCCATAAACTTCTTGGTCTCCACGCTCAAGTTTGGACTGAGTTTCAGACTTGGGTTCAGCTACATGTTTTTTTGGTTCAAGGTTCATGGGTTTGGGGGTTTACGCCTCACCGATGTTCTGGCCTTAAAATTTACTTTTTGTTGTTGGTTCAGGATCATAGATTATTAGGGTTTCAGGTTTCAGGTTCATACATTTCTAGGAAGTAAAGGTTCCCAGACTACTTCGGAGCGTTAAATTTTATTTATTGGAGTTTGAAGTTTCAGATTTTTTTTGGCTCAGGTTCCTGGAGGTTTGGATCTCCAGGTTTATGTTTTTTTGTTCATACACTTTGGGGAGTGTACCGTTCAAGGCATCTAGATTTTTGGACCTCATTGTTAATTGATTTTGTTGTTCCAATGTTCATCGTTTTTTTGGTTTTGAACGTGATCGATTTTTGGGCTTCAAGGATGATTTTTTTGAGGTTTCAGATTCATATTTTTTGTAAGGGCTTTCAACTTTTGGAGCAGTAAGTAAGGCTTTGTTTTTTTAAAACTTGGGTTTCAAGTTCTCAGAATTTTTGAGTTTCCTTAAAGTTCATAATTTTTGGGCCTTAAGTTTTATAGATTCTTGGGCCTTCTGGTAAATCGATGTGTGTGGGGTCTAAGGTTCATAACATGTTGGACCTTTAGCATCATAGATGTTTTGGGTTTGAGGCTCACATTTTGAGGGCTTTAGCATGTTTCGTCTTTAAAATGAATTTCATAGTTTGTTAGGCCTTACGGTACATAGTTTCGTGATGTTTCGTGGGGTCCCCTGTTCATCACATTTTGGCTCTTAAGCTTCATAGATGTTTAAGGTTTGAGGCTCACATGCTTTTGGGGTTTGGGGCCTCTATTTTTTAGGGTAAAGGCTATTAAGTCTTTCAAAATCCTAGATTTTTGAGCCTTGCTATCAATAGATTTCAAGGGCTCAAGGTTCATAATCTTGTTGGGACTAAAACTTGATAGATGTTTGAGGTGTGCGACTGCGACTCACACGTTTGAACGGTTTTGGGTTCATAGATTTTGCGCCTCAAAGTTCATCGACTTTCCCGTAAAATCTACACACCAAGTCTTCAGGCAACGGCTGGTCTACCCGCCAACTTTGGCCAACAGCAGCCCTGCCCCTCAACACATGTTTTTCCTGGGAGAACAAAATCGTGAACACATGTGAAACGTAAATGAAACAAGTCAACACAGCTTGAATACAGATATATGCCCCAACACTATAGTTTCAGTTAGAACATTTGTGAGGCAGCAAACATGTTGAACAATGTCAAAAGACAACAAAAATCTAACAAATCAAAATAACAAACAAAAGCAACAATAGCATTAAACGAAAAACGCCAAAAATAGCAACTGATCTTTGCCCAAACACTAGTTTTCAATTCAGGAAACTTTCGGCATTTAAAAACAGCAAAGAAATAGATAAAACAATTAACACAAAATAAGCAGGCCGAAAAACATCAGACCAGTCAAAAGGAAGAAACTGAGAAGCTGAAGCCCAAAAACTATCGCATTTGCAGGCCCAGAAATCGATGAACATTGAAACTAAAACTCTTTGAATCTGACGCCCCAAACAAAAATGAACCTTGCTTCCTTGACGCTGAAAAAGTCTATCACCCTTAAGGCCCAAGCATTTCTGAACCTTAGCCCCAGAAGAACATCAGCCTTGAATCTACAAAACTATGAGCCTCAACCCCCAAAAAATGATCGAAACTTACTAAAACAAGCATGTTTTTTTTTTCAAATAGCGTTAAGTCCCAAACAAAAACTTAAGGCCTTCAACCCTATTTGGGTCTTACGAATCTGTGGGGATTAGCCTTACGGTTTATATTTTCGTGGGCCTTAATAGATGTTTGTCTTTGGAGTTGAAGGCTCACATATTTTTCGGGCTTGGGGCGTACATTTTTTCGGGCGATTAAGGCTCATGAATGTTTGGCCTTGAAGTTTCAAAGATTGTTTGGGCCTTAGGGTTCATAGATAGATCTATTTTTTCTTTTGTTTTTTTGGGGCCTCAAGCTTCATAATTCGATGTTCGGGGTTGAAGTCTCATAAAATCTTTAGCCTTAAAACATTGCAACATGTTTTGCGCCTCATAGATTTGTGGGGTCTCAGCTTCATAAATCATCAGGCGTAAAGCATGGTTCCATCTTGGTCTGGTGCTTTGTGTCTGTTTTTGTTTTTTCATACTTTCCTTTTTTGGTGCCCCAATTTCCTGAATTGAAAATTTAGTATTTTGGCATAGATTCGTCCTTTTCCTGTTATTTCTATTTTTGTTTGATTCTTTTGGGCCCAAATTGAAATACAGCATTGGGCCATAGATCTGTATTCAAACTTTGCTGTCTTTTTTTCCCCAGGTTCTTCCACAGAGATGGCAACACGCGTTTGCAGATAGAAGAGAATATCTCTTGAGGGGCAGGGCTGCTGTTGGCCAAAGTTGGCGGGTAGACCAGCCGTTGCCTGAAGACTTGGTGTGTAGATTTTACGGGAAAGTCGATGAACTTTGAGGCGCAAAATCTATGAACCCAAAACCGTTCAAACGTGTGAGTCGCAGTCGCACACCTCAAACATCTATCAAGTTTTAGTCCCAACAAGATTATGAACCTTGAGCCCTTGAAATCTATTGATAGCAAGGCTCAAAAATCTAGGATTTTGAAAGACTTAATAGCCTTTACCCTAAAAAATAGAGGCCCCAAACCCCAAAAGCATGTGAGCCTCAAACCTTAAACATCTATGAAGCTTAAGAGCCAAAATGTGATGAACAGGGGACCCCACGAAACATCACGAAACTATGTACCGTAAGGCCTAACAAAATCTAAGATTTTTGAAGACTTGTGAGCCTTTGCCCCACAACGTACAGGCCCCAAGCCCCAAAAACATGTGAACCTCAACTCCCAAACATCGATGAAATTTAAACCCCAAACCCAAGAACCTTAAACCTACACAACTATAAGGTCCAACAGTGTGTAATGTGATATGTTCAGACTCAACATTGTTGAGCTCAACCCCCTAAAAAAACATAAATAATTAATTAAACCGGTAAGCCTTCAAACGCAAATACTGGTGCTACTTAGAGCCACCCAAAAAATATGAACATTGCACCCCCACAAGTCTATGAACCGTAAGGCCCAGAATTTATGAGCTTGAAACCCCAAAAATCTATGATGTTGAAGCCCCAAACAAAAGCGAGACCTTGACGCTCCAAAATCTATAAGGCTTTAGATCGCCCCAAAAAATATGAACCTGAATCCCCAGAAAATTCAACCTTGAGGCCCAAGAAAGTATCAAGCTGGAGGCCAAAAGATCTATGAACATTGGATACCAAAAATCTAGGAACCCAAAGGTTCAAAACTCTTTAAAAAAAACGAATCTACAAAATCCATCTGAAACTAAAACGATGTCTGTTTTGTTGGATGTTTTTTTCAACTTTTTGCTCGAGGTTTTCAGCTGGAATTGAACGAAGATCACGTTCAAAACCAACTTCGGGGTAATTTCTTGTTTTGAGGAGGTTTTGCATGAAAAAACCTCAAGTCACTATCAGTTCCAGCTGAAAACCTCGAGCAAACTTGCATACAGTTGCATGGAATTCTTCAGATAAAATTGGATACACATTGAACACCAAGAAAAACACTAGTACTTGGTAGGCAACCATTCCAACATATTCCATCATCCTGAAATCACAGAGTTGGATGCCATGACATGTCCAAAATCACCAGTGAAAACTTGAAAATACGTTTCAATCCTTGAATTGTGAGTATTTTTTTTAATCATTAAAGTCACCAGTGAAAACTTGAAAATATGTTTCAATCGCTGAATTTTCAATTATTTTGTCAAAATCATTAAAGTCACCAGTGAACACTTGAACATACTGTTCAATCCTTGAATTGTGAGTAGTTCTTTGAAATCATTAAAGTCACCAGTGAAAACTTGAAAATGT